GCCCTCACCTTTGGCTGTCCGGGCCCATTCTACGAGGAGTATGGCTGCCTCTACGGCATTCATTTTGGGAGTTTCCCTTCATGAAGTTTGTCATGTGGCAGACTGGTCCTCACCGCATACATTTGTCAAATTCTATGATTAGACATCCCCACTCCTGGGGCTAGGTTGCTTGCTTCTTAGTGTGCACAGAACTTCACACAGAACGGGCATTGTCATTATGGCGTAGTGGGTATGGGGTTTTCCACAGCTTAACTATGCAGCGGGAGTTCCCTTGATAGGGAACGTCTCAGGTTACGTATGTAACGAAGGGAGCGAAAGAGGGAACGTAAACGCTGTGTTCGCCTGCCATACTTCCTGCATGCTCAGATCGACTTGCTTCAGGCTTATCAGAAGCTGAGGCAATCTGTTTTCGGGGGTGCTTTGTAGATTCCTGGTCTATGACGTAACCCACCTATGATGTCTCGCTCTTCTATTGGACTGATTATTCCCGTGCTTCACGACACAATCACACAGAGGTGTTCCTACAGCGTAACTACGCAGCATTTCATTCCATTAAATGACCTCACCTCCCAGAGAGAAAGAATTCCATCCAAATAGATTTTTACTCAGAGTTATTATTACCAAATCAATTTTTACTCAAATCTAAGCCAATGACAATTTGCTAACTTGGTTTGCCACAATCATTTTAGAAATAAAAACATCTGTATGTTGAACGGTATGAATGGTAATGTTACAGGCTAAGTAACTGTACAAATAAAGTATATTTTATCTATTCTTATCGTGTTTCGTCCTTGCTGAACTGCCGTCTGCAGCTTTTCCACTGTGCGGAGAATGATTCAATGATGGCGACGGTTGAAAATAGGCGCATTCGGTCAGCGAGTCTGCGATTTGACTGCGCTGTCCAGAGGTGGGGCATATTCTGCGCGCACGACTGAATTAAGTCTGAGTGAACAGCGGACCTGGCGACTTGAGGGCGGATCCACCCCGGAGTCTATTTCTATCAGGGATTGATGCACAAGGCCTAATTTTTGAATGTGTTGGAACATAATACTGCAGCTGACAGCCAAAAGCAGATAAGCATGAGAGCAGTGCTCCCTGTTCTCTAGAAGCCCTAACCATAGACATTATATAGAGCTAGATGCACTATTGGCCGCTGGGCGCAAGAAATGCAGCCGCTATCTTTAACTGGTCATACTTCTAATTGCGTTGCATAGCAGCAGTTAAGATGCCAGAGCACTGTGCAGCATGTCCCTCGTCAAATTGGCGGACCTTTGCAAATAGGGCTTACTTTACACAAGTAAGATTTAACGTTACCGTACTATTGGTTGTATTTTGTGTATTTGTACCATGTGTCATGTATCATAGCTACATGTATGACCTTTGCAGAAAAAAAAAAAAATCCTGCGTGAAAATCTGTTCGATATTCAGTGAGATATTAAATGCGCTGACATCTCATTTCACCTGCCAAACAGATTACACTGAGCGAAGCAGGTGACTGGTCTAAAATGGCAGCCCCATGGCTCGTCCACGCCAGTAGGCAGTAGCAGTCGATAGGGCGTCTTTTCTCTATTATGTCTATGCCTTAAACAGCATTGCCCTGCTTCATTGTGAGAAAGAACGAGAGCAATGCTGTCACGCAGTCTTTACATGTTTTTGTCAGTGTCTTATTGGATGTTCTATTAAATAAGTTCAGACACTGGATAACTTATGTCTAGAAACTTACAGCATTACAGCAAAATATTTTACATTTCAAGTCACCACAAACGTTAGCTCTGAATTGATTATTTGATCACAAAATTTGTTTTACATTACAATAAAGTGAAAGCTTGTGATGTGAGTCTAGATTAAACAGTTTCTGTTGCCAAGTTAATTGTATTTTGCTGCCATCTAGTGGCGATTGAATGTCTTGCACATAAAATATATTGAAGGAAGAAGATGATAATGCACAGCAGCAGACATATTTTGATTTGTCTTGTCATATTTAGTTTTGATTTATTGGAGTCAGTGAATACAGACTTACTCAGTTTACTAGGGATATGGAAGAAGAAAAACAATCCAATATACCTGTACATCAGGCTCCTGTCCATTAGGAGTTTAATGGTAGAATTTGCCTTACAACACTGGAGGGAGATTTTCAAACCACACAACTGGTTTGTCACATATGTGTTGTATCTCAATAACTGCATGTGGTTATGTGTCAAATGTCCTTTAACACATTGTTTTATGTTGGTTTCAAATACTACACATCTAAAGTAGAATTAAGAGTTGTTTGTGAATGTTAGTGAAAATTATTGATATCATTATGCAATATATTCAGGCAAGAGTCAAATTTGGGCAGGTATTTTGGCTGAAAGGTTAAAAGTTTTATTTTTTAGGACACAGGTATGTTTCATGTCTGTTCAGGGCAAGGTAAATTATTTGGGGGTAAGTTGTCAGATGTTTCAATGTATGTCATTTATAAAGGTGAAGTTAGTGATTTCTGAGAAAGATATTTGGAATCAATACAATCACACCCCTCTCTTCATTGCTTTGTCATCAAAATACATGGACAATGTAAGAATGGATGTCTCTTCATAAAGCGGATCTTCAGCAAAGCAAAGTAATGCTTCAAGAAAAATAAAGCAAAGATGACTTAAGGAACGAAGAACGAAGAAGGAACAAAAAGTATTTACAAGAAAGGGTTGGTTGATTTGTCGCCAGCATCACCAGTTCCTGACAAACAGTGACACTCAAAACTGTTCTGTTCCTAACATAACTACAGAAAATCTTGGTTCTGCGAAACATAGCAAAACCAATGTTATTCACATAGGAAAAACAATGCATCAGCTTCCATTTTCAGGCTTTCTCACTTACGTCTCTCCAGTGCTGGAAAGCTTTCTATTATTAACATGGAAAGCTTCTGCCTGATTATAACTCTTCTTTCCCTCTAACCATTTCTCTTTTGTAATTTATGCCAGCCATCTCTCTTTCAACAGTCTTTCTTCAAATCTTCCTCTTTCTCTTGCTCACTCTCTCTACTCTTCATCATGAGTGGACACACCCCCTACTGCTGATTGGCTAAAAGTGTGTTGTGGTGCGCGGTCAGATCCACTTTCAACGGCGTTTCTCAGAAATTGCTCACTGTACTTTTAAATAAGAAATATGCACACACACACACACACACACACACATATATATATATATGTTTTATAATTATACTGTTTCAATTTACAGCAGTTAAAAAAGCTGAATAATGACTTTGGTTTTACTGTGACAATGTACTTTGTGTTTGGTTTTACTGTGACAATGCACTTCTGCTCAATTTCATTTTCCTTCAGTACTACGTCTGGGACTGCTGTATATCCCATAGACAGTACAAGAAGTGGACAGAGCGATCTCATTGGAACTCCATTGAGACGAGACTCAAACAGAGCTTGACGACGTAGATGTGACGAGAGCAAACCGTCTGTCTTCTAGTGGCTGTGGCAGGAGAAATCTGAATCATTCCCTTCTGAAACTTGCAGAGGTGGAGAGTGTTAATAGGAGCTGTCCATGAGCTAGGAGAAGGAGACAATTTTGCTAGCTATTCTGATTAATTATTTTGTCATTTTACCTCCACATTTCCCCGATTGCGCGCAAACTTCTTCTCCTGTCCATATGGTAATCTCTCTACTGTGTGACAGAGAGTCGCGTGGGTATGATGCAATCGTTAGCCTACTTTCACTAAAACCGCTTATACGGGGCCATAACATAAGCTACAAGGTAATGGAGAATTTTATACATTGTCGTGTTTCTTTAGAAATAAATAAATGAAAAATGGGGTCTTTAAACGCCTCAGATGTAAAGTTATTCGCTGTCAAAGTTCCGCCAAAATGAATGGGAGTCAATGTGAATGCTAACGCAAGTGAATTTCTGCTACAAGATGGCAGCTCCCGCGAGGCTTCAACTTCCGGTCGATGGATTACCCCCTTGGTATATCCTTAGGTTTCCAGAAATCAATTTTTTTGTAGGACCAATCAGCGAATAGAGGGAGTGGCTGAGAACAATGACGTTGATGTAGCGCATCAGTTTAAGTTCAGTAATGGCAGCGGAGAAAGACGTGAGAGAATCTATTCGGTCCGTTGTTGGAAAAGAAACTGCTGAATATACAGAATCTAAAGCCGGATTGTTGTCGTCTCACCTCTTGTTGCACAACGGAGGACCACGTGAAGGAGACAGAAAGGTTGGAAGTTTGTGCTGGGCAGCTCGGTGTGCACGATGATCGTGACATTTTGGACTTTAGCCTGGTGTTCGGAAGCCCCGAGTCCTGGCTGCTAAAGCTAAACTATTGTTGAAGAGCCGCTCAGGAGTTTTACATGTTGTAAATGTCAGTTTTACATGTTGTAAATCATACAAATTGGTTGTGATTTTTTTTTAATAATTGTCATAAATAAAAATGTGAAAACCCATACTTTGAAGACCATCATTTGATTTTCAGATTTAGATGTCAATGGTTAATTTGTTTTTTAAAAAAAAACAAAAACTAAAACTTAATGCCATATAAAAATGTACAAACACATACTTTGAAGACCATAATTAAGGTAATTAAGAAACAATAAGACATAATATGAAAAAACGTTGTTTATTACAGATATCTGCAGATAGAGACAGATCATTCACTGTACAGCATTTGCGGCAGATTAGAAAACAACCACAGCGGCGTATTTGTAATGATAAGATGAATAAACGGCTGTTAAATGAATACATCACTAGTTGGAGGACTAGAGGACTAGTTGTTTCCAGCCGTTTCGGCGCATGACACATGTCACGACCACATTTTAGCGATTGGCTATGGCAGATCGTGAGTGACTCTGGGCAGATCCAATAGTTTTGAACTTTAACAGTGAACCCGCCTAAGGAAGTAAACGTTTCTTAATGGAGAGAGGCCAGACTCTATGTACAAATGAAATGTACGAGAGTCTGGTTGAACCAGGCTACCCCATATTGCCACTTTTGATTGACTGCTGTTTTTGCCATTCTAGATTCTCATGATGCAGTTCTGCGTTTTAATGCTGCACCCTCCAAGGGCTACGAAAAAGATGTGGGCAGCAAGACAACCATTCGAATTATGAACTCTCAGGTTTGGCTCATTTGCAATAATGCTCAGATACACAAACCGTCACCGTCTGACTCATTCCCTGTCTCCCTGTGTGCAGGTATTAAATGGAGATGTTCTTTTATATTTCTTTTTTATCAGATTCTAGCAAACCCCAAACACAGATTCAACAGCAGTTTGATTTATAAGAACAGCACCTTGGTAGCCTGGGATCCGGCTTCTTATAAAATTGACCTGCATAAGGTATGAAAATCATATCAGAGGATCAGTCAGGAGTGTTATGCTCTTCGGCCCTGTTGAACTTAGCTTGAGTAGTTATCTTGCTTGAAATATATATTTGGTGAGGCAGGAGCTGGGTGACCTTGTAGGTATTTAAGTGACATTATCAGCACACTGGCTGGCAGAGGAATCATTTATAATGATTCGATCCAGGGCTTTACTTCACTGACCAAGAATGAAATCAAAAATTGGTGGAGGTACTGTAACAAGAATTGGTGACATTTCTGCTAGAGTATAGCCAATTTGAGAGGAATACAAAGATGACCATGAAAAAATAAAGAGCCCTAGACTGGGACTATGATAGTAAAATCTTTTACAGTCTGTAACATATAGCTTTTAATGTTTTTAAAGTAGTCTCCTAATTCACAAAGGCTGCATTTATTTGATCAAAAATACAGTAAAAACAGCAATACTGTTTCTGTTCCCAATCAGGGAACTTCAAGCTGCGTGTAACCGCTATGGGAACGCCCCTGCGTGAGTGCGTCATGAAGCACGTATGAAATCAGTCCAATGGCGAGACGGAACGTCATAGGTAGCTGGTTGAACTGCATCTCTAGAACTTACAGAGCCAGCACAAGACCAGTGTATAAAAATAAGACCAGACACAATCGGGCCTCATAATATACCTTTCTATGATGTAATGTTCAAACATTAATTTTTTCAACCCCCTAACATAAGACCAGACACAGTCGGGTCTTAAAAATAAAGCGAATGATAACCGACCAGAGGTGGGTTTTATATTGAATGAATGAATGTGTGCTTATGACATTGACATAATGTGGGTAAGACCGGACACCTGTCGGGTCTGAATTCCCACTGAAAAGGACCCTTGCCTGCAGGCAAGGAACCTCCATATTATAGAATTTCACAAATGAAGAAGGCGAGGACCAACCGACCGCCGCACAGATATCGTGAATGGAAACCCTAGAAGCCCAAGAAGAGGCAATGCCTCTAGTACCGAATGGGCTCTAGTACCAATAGGGCAAACCTGACCCTCTTAGGTGTATGCCAGAAAAATTACATCAACGATCCATCTGGATATCCTCTGCTTTGTGACGGGTGACCCCTTGGACCGGCCACCAAAGCAGACGAAGTGCTGTTCTGTTTCTCTAAAAGACGCAGACCGCTCCAGATACATTTTCAGTGCTGTGACAGGACAGAGTAGATTAGCCTCCCCATCCTCTGAGGAAGAGGGAAGGGCCAACGGCTATGTGCCACTTTAGGCACATAGCCGTGTCTGGGTTTGAGAATGACCTTTGAGTCGCCAACACCAAACTCCAAACAAGAGGGGCTCACTGAGAGCGCCTCCAAATTCTAACTCACTTGACTGATGCCAGTGCCAACAGGAGAGCAGTCTTTAGTGAGAGTATTTTGAGATCAACCGACTGAAGCGGTTCAAACGGTGGGCCCTTCAGGGCCCCAAGGACAGTGGAGAGGTCCCAAGAAGGAACAGATGGAGGTCTGGAGGGGTTATTTCAGGTTTATTTTCTCTCCTGGCTCATTTCAGAAACTGTACCACCAAGTAATTTTTTCCCAGTGACCAGCCTGCCACCGGAGCATGAAACGCTGCGATGGCTGCCACATACACTTTGAGCTTGGACGGAGTCCTGTCCGCGTTCAATAGCTCTTGTAGGAAGGAGAGAACCACTGGTACCTCACATGACACAGGTTCAAAACGTTTGTCCAGACACCAGCTAGAAAACACTGACCTCACTGAAGCTCACAGGTGCCTGGTAGAGGGGGCCCTGGCTTCATTGATCATGCTCAGGACCTTCTCAGGAAGGTCCCGGGTACCCATTGAGGGGCCACATGTGGAGAGCCCATAAATCGGGTTGTGAAAGAAATATCGCCCCCTCCACCTGCTTGAGTAGGTAGTCGAATGGGCTCGGCCAGGGGACTTTGCCCACCATCTGAACCAGCTCCGGAAACCAAGGTCTGGATTTCCAGAGGGGGGCCACCACAAGGACTGGGCATCCGCTCAACCTGACCCCCTCGATAACCTGGAGTATCACTGAGATGGGGGGAAATGCATAAAGGTGGCGGTTGGGCCAACAATGGGCAAACACATCCCTGCTTTTCGAGAAGTAGCTTCAGGTCTGTGGACGGGGCCTCATCTGCATTGGCACATCAACTACCTCGAGTTGTTAGCAGTACATCTTGCGCTGGGCCGCTTTAAAATGCTGCTACTAGGCAAGCATGTACTGGTCCGCTTGGATAGCATTGTGATTGTTGCGTACATCAACCGCCAGGGTGGTCTACGTTCCCGTCGCACATCACAACTCGCCCGCTATCTCCTCCTCTGGAGTTAGAAGCATCTGAGGTCGCTTCGTGCCCTTTTTATTCCATGCCTGCTCAACCACGCAGCCAACAAGCTATCACGGCAGCGGCCAGTTCATATGTGTATCTCCATGTTACCTCCCTTCGGGCAGGATGTGGTTTCCGCAGCGTCCCTCTCCCCTGGGAAAGACACGCTTTCCCAGTGTTATCCCAGAGTTCCACTGTGTGGGTTATGAAGGCAGTTTGAACACCCTTTACGCAGGCCTTCCGCCCCAGTTATTTGGGGGTTTGAGAGTCGCTGGATGTGGCAGCAAACGTGGCATGTTTCATGGGATCTCAATTACGTTGTCACATCGACGTAACGTCGAACGTGAGCGACTGAAAGGAACGTGTGTAACCCTCATTAACTGAATGAGGAAACAGGAGAGGTAACGCCCCGTAGCCACGTCGCTGTATGGCTGAACATGTCTGGGCTCCTTAGCGTAAAACAATATGCGACGCACCTGCTGCTCGTTATATGCTCACGCTGCAGGCAGAGCAGCTGATGCAATTATTGCATGCCATTAAGTATTGGCTCGTTTTAATACTCTCACAGTATCTCAAAGTATAGATTGGTCTCTCAAGGCGATCCCGATTACGTTGTCACGTCAACGTTACGTCTCCTGTTCCCTCCTTCATTTCCCCCCTGGAACGAGGGTTACAATAGTAATCGAGACATTTTTCCGGCACTAATTCAATGCTTTTTAAAGGAGCATTCCACCCATTGCAACATTAATCTTTAACGAAAGTGGATCATATATGTAGTCGAAATGTAAAATATATATTTTTTTAATTTGGAGCCCTCTTGACCAAGAAAAGACAGAAAATAACCAAGGGACGCATTTGTATTAATAGACTACAGGTCCCACAATGCCCCGCATTGCACAGCTCCGCAAGCTACACCCACTAATCCAGAACAGCGCAAACAGAGAATTAATTCTTCCGTCTAAAACGCTTACATTAGCTGTCAACAGAGTTTGAAATTCATTTCACACAAAACGTCTAGTTAGTTGGCTGTGGCGAGCAGGACGATCGAGGGCGAGGGATGTAAGAGGACGGCGCGCTGCGCGAGGCCGGTGGCGTGAGTGATAATGAAAGACACCTGTGAGGCGTGCGCCGGTCTCGCGTCTCTAACGGAGAAGCGAAAGCATAAAATGGGGAGCGAAGACGGCAGATCGAGAGAGAAACAGGCCTGATTTTATGTTGTTTTGTTTCTGTTGTGTGTAACGCTGGCTTATACTTTCATTTTGTATTTGTTCATTTTACTATTAAAATGTTTAAATGTTTGCCGGTTCATGCCTCCTCCTTCCCACCACAATAACAAACCCCGTTCACGTTACATTGGCAAATTAATAGTGAATTACTCCTCGTTTGTATTTCTTTCTGAATGGTGAATTACTGCATGATACCTGGATGTTCTGTCGGGCGAAACTATCACAACACAAACGTCCGTGTGCTCGTCTGATTCAGAGATTTCCTCCAGGAGAAATTGCTATCGTTGAAATTCTCTGCAGCAGACGGACTCTGTGTCCATAGGCCGTAGCACGCAACGAGAGCACAGGAAACAGCGGACCGCTCAGCTCGACCCAGTCCGGGCGTCTCGACCGACAGGCAGCCGCCTCCTGCTCCTCCATCAGCCTCAGCTGCTCTTCACTATACTGCGGCTCGTAAAGATAGCCACGAACATCGGATTCGAGGAGCAGACATTCAAAACCCTTTTCTTCAATATCATGTTTAGTCTCTTCCGTCATTGTCATAACTTACTATCTCCACAGCACTTGTTAGCTTAGCTTCCAAACAAGATGGCGGATATTGATTTCAGTTTCTGCAAGTGAAGTCCCACCCACTGATCTGTAATAGGCCTGTAGGGTGAGTGGGTCCCACACCCTTGAATAATAATGAGCTATTTTTTGTAGTCTGTTGTCATTTCAATGAAATACGACTTCCTGCTTATCGTGACGCAAAATTATGATTTTTACGTCACAATAAGCAGGAAATAAAACGCTTAAATCCTTATTTCTCCCATCTCAGGGGAAAATAAGGGAATAAACCAGTACCATTCAAAAATATGACTGGGTTTCTAAAGATACAAAGCTTAAAGGGTTAGTTCACCCAAAAATGAAAATTAAGTCATTAATTACTCACCCCCATGCTGTACCAACCCCGTAAGACCTTCGTTCGTCTTCGGAAAACAAATGAAGATATTTTTGATTAAATTTGAGAGCTGTATAACTACCACATTGGCTCCTAAAGGGCTGCCTCTTGACGGCCCAGAAAGTCAATGAAGAAAATGTTTAAATATCCCAAGTGACTACCGTGGCTCAACTATATGTTTATCAAGCGACGCGAATACTTTTTGTGCGAAAAAACAAACAAAAATAACGAGTTTATTCGACTATTTCTTTTCTTCCTTGTAGGTCAGAACGAGACTTCCTTAGATTTCCACGACGCATGCGCGAGAATTGCGATCTGAAGTGGTGTAAGCTGGTGTGAGCAGATCGCAAATCTCGCGCATGCGTCGTGGAAATCTAAGGAAGTCTCGTTCTGGCCTACAAGGAAGAAAAGAAATAGTCGAATAAACTCGTTATTTTTGTTTGTTTTTTCGCACAAAAAGTATTCGCGTCGCTTGATAAACATATAGTTTAGCCACGGTAGTCACTTGGGATATTTAAACATTTTCTTCATTGACTTTCTGGGCCGTCAAGAGGCAGTCCTTTAGGAGCCAATGTGGTAGTTATACAGCTCTCAAATTTAATCAAAAATATCTTCATTTGTGTTCCGAAGACGAACGAAGGTCTTACGGGGTTGGTACAGCATGGGGGTGAGTAATTAATGACTTAATTTTCATTTTTGGGTGAACTAACCCTTTAATGCAAATGGGTGAAGTGACCCTTTAATCTTAGTAATAACAAAATCTTTTACTAAATTACTTGATAAGGCTTTCTTGATAAGGCTTTTTTTCTTCATTATAATATCAGCACAGCTTTACCACTTTTTTACTTTGTCTTCCAAAACTATCAAAATGATTTTTTATTCTGAAATGAAAAACATTCATGATAGAATACTGTAGGTCTATTCAAGCCATTCTTTTTATGGATTGCATTTTTAAATAAATCAGTATATCCAGACAAATGAGCATCATGTCAACCAACTAAGTGTCAGTACTTTATTCTTAACACAATTTTCTACTGTTTTCTCAATGTTCACAGTGGTACCAGAATCCAGAATATGACCTTTTTAATCCATACATAACTCACAGGAAGACCTTCCCTGAGCAGCCCTTTTATATCCTGCATCCTTCATTTATCTGGAAACTTTGGGATATTGTGCAAAGCAACACACTGGAAAACATTCAACCCAACCCTCCTTCTTCAGGATTTATAGGTGAGTCTTTTCACCATTTACACATTTGATCGCTGCACTCAAGAAAATTGTTGTGACAGTAATTTTTGAGTGATTTGCCATGCTGTGCAGTTCACGCACACATTCGACCCGAATTTAAGCAAGATCAAATGTTTCCCTGCCTACTTCTACAGCGTCTTCTGTTGACTTACAAATGATGATCACATCTGTTTGTATTCACTGTTCCTCATGAATTAATTTATGTCTGAAGAGTCCAGGGTGTGTGTGTGTGTGTGTGTGCTAATGCTGAAATGTGTTACAAGGTAATATCACTTTGATAGACGCCAGTTTGAGTGATTTCAATCAGGAAGACATCTCAAGTGGGGAAATAAACTCTCCATAAAATGTCTGAAGGATACTTACCTTGCCGGAGGCTGTACTGGCAGAAACAGTGCCTGTGGCAATGAATGTTCATGGAAACACACATACACACACTTTATTGATGTCTCCTTTAGCTTTGAAAGTTCATTGCTAAATCTTAATGAATGAATGGAGGTTTGGCTGAAAACTCAAGATCTAAGAGAGGCACACAAGCAAATGAACAAATGTTATGACAGTTAGTATAATTGTTGGTAGTTTGTTTATGTACTTGTATGACTGACATATAATAAGATCTGTGTGAATCTGTGCTGTTCATACAAGTTGATGGCTCTCAAACAGATAATCATCAATGATCATTCCTACACCCATCAAACATCATTGGTGCTATCAAAGGCACCATCCAATATTGCCAGTACTAAGAGAGCAACGACGCTGAAAAATGTTGAAATGTTCATCTTTGTTTTCTCCTCGTTCATTGTATTGAATGTACAGTATTGGATTGTACCTTTAACATACCATTACAGTTTTGACGTAAAGGAATATTGTCCTCATTTACTCCCCCCTCATGTCATTCCAAAACCATGACATTCTTTCTTCATCGGGGAACAAAATTTAGCATTATGTGATTCTTTTACAACAAAACAAAAGTAAACGATGCTTTTATCTCAAAAATCTTTTCCTTTTTTTCTCTTACGTTACATAGTGAAATTTCACAAGTTCAGTGCCAACTCATTTTATTTATTTATTTATTTTTTTTTTTTGCATAAAGGATTCTGGCTGATGGTAAAATATACTTAATGCATCCTTTAAAAAATCGGAATAAAGGATGCCAAACGTAAGCTGCCTTCCAGAGGTCTTTATTACGTGGAAGCCCAGATATGCAGCCTTACTAGGGCTGCGTTTAAGTCGAATTTTTTACGCCCTTCCTTCGCTAACTTCCCTCCGTCTCGTTCACTCGGATGTACGTCATTGCTTGCATTGCATAAGTGCCCACTACAGGTGGAACTCTTACAACTCTTTACAAACCATTCTATAGGCCTGTATGTATGCTTGGGATGTTAAAAAAAATGTAATATAAACAAATATCAAATATTAGTATATTAATATTTAAAAATAAAATTATTTTAAAAATGCAATTAATTATAACAGTATTAAAATAAGCCAGCTTAAGGTACCTACACGCATTAAAGGGGTGGTTGATTATGATTTCACTTCCCTAACTTTAGGTATTGTGTAATATTGCTGTTTGCGCATAAATGACATCTGCAAAGTTATGACGCTCAAAGTTCAAAGCAAAGGGAGATTTTCTTTTAAAGAAATAGCTTTTTAAAGACTACAACAAACGGCTGGTTGAGACTACACAACATTCCTCCCAGGTTAGTGACATCACGAACCCTAAAATTTACCTAAGCCCTGCCCCCGGAACATGATGTATAGATTATCAAGACAGAATATGCTAATCAATGACTAGAAGATAACTACTCATAAGCTACATTAATTCATCAACTAACCAATCAGAAATGTTGTCTACATGTTGTCACTTCTTGAGTCTCTCATCTTTCTCACTCTGGTTTGAACATAAAAGGCAAAACGTTTTTGAAATTTTCAGTGCATGTCTGTAATCAAAAAGAGGTAATCAAAGCTGCTAAGGACACAAGTTGTTGTAGCTCCACCCTCTGCGCCGGGAGCAGCAGCTTATTTGCTTTTAAAGGGACAGACACAAAAACGATGCGTTTTTGCTCACCCTCAAAAAGTGACAACTTTGACATGCTATATATAAATATCTGTGGGGTATTTTGAACTATCACCACTAGTGACCAAGTTTGGATATACTGTTTTGGGTCACTGGACTACTTTGACGCAATGATGTGACTAATGATCCACTTGTTACCATCCTTGATCTCCAGCATTAGGATCAGGGTACAAATAGAATACACAGAAGCCATTGGTGGAGGATTTTACCAGTTTTGAGGGTGTTTCCATGAAATTCACAGCTTTATTCAACATCTTATTCGGATCTGGCCTTAAATGCTTTGGGAACATGACAACAACATGGGGCTAAGCACATTTATAAGTAATGCACCAGCACATGATCTACACATCCAATTTAACAAGTCACCAGTAGCTGTTTGCACTTGTCTCGCTCTTTGTAACATTTATATTGACAAATCACATAGAAACACTGGTTGGTGTGTCAAGTCAGACAACAGTTTGACGGATATAGAGATCACTTTGCTACAGTTCTGATTTTCCGCTTTTGATTGGTAGGCACTCAACAACACTACACAGACAATTTTGTCATAACTTATTCAAATATGTATGTTGTGTTTTGACTAAGGTAGGGTGGAGTTGTAACGTAGATGTATGATTTGTGTGTGTGTGTGTGTGTGTGTGTGTTGGTTCAGCCCGAGACAGGGGTGCTGCAATCATTTTGGAGACCAATGGAAGGTGGTTCGTTGCCAGCCACTGGGTTGCTATAAGCCCTTCGGTTGAGCTGGATGACAGTAGTTCTTGAAGGCAAAGAGGACTGTCCATTCTCTAGAGAGCTGTGTTTGCAATGAAACAGTATAAGGAAACACCTGTAAAACTGCACAAAACACAGTAAATTACCACTCATTCACTCATTTCAGAGACAAAAAAGATGCAGAGCCATTAAAGATGTCTTATATTTGTGTGAAAGGTTGCCCAGCATCCTTTGAATTTCACCTTCTCAGTAATTTTTTTTTCATTCTTTTTTGGCCAATTGTAGTGGGAATATCTTAATAGTAAATGTTTACAATAAAGGAACAGACAGACATTTAAAACATCTAGTTTAAAACACATGTGCCATTTTTTTATGTAATTAAAAAACATTCTCTAAAATCTTTGTATCTTACAAGTAATACATGTAAGTGTACACATCTTAATCTTTCTTTTCAGAGGTTTTATAATATATAATGGATTATTAATTCATGAATATTTTTACATTTTTAAAGGGTCATACCACATGACATTTTACAACCTGAACTAAACTCATGTAAAAAAAAATCTAAATTATCTGATATATTAACTCATTATTGACCTTGACTTTTCTCTGATATAATTTCCTTTTTATGATTTTTTCAAAAAAGAATTTCCAAATTAAAATTCAGAACTGAGAAAAACATGCCCATTATATATATATATATATATATATATATATATATATATATATATTGTTATTATTATTATTTTAATTCAATATTGAATTAATATAGAAGAAACAAATAGAGTCATTGACCAAATAATTGACTGGAATATTTTGAAGCACTTATTTCTGATGAGATATCGGATGTTGGGTATAGGTGTAGCAAGTTTACATTCAAACCTATGTGTGTGTCTCTTCACAGCTTCTGTAGTATGCCTAGGGATGCTATTTAAATTCAATCCAGTCTACATAGTTCCAGGGTTTCCCCGAGAAAAAATTGAATTCTCTGATCTACATATGTATTTCGAAGGCCAAAATAAATAGATAACAGCTTTAAAACCATGTCAGTGGGCAGCTGATTATTTTTCTTCCCTCATCAGTATCACCCTCTTTTTCTCTTTGTTTACATCTTGCCCTTAAAGCTGAGCTTTGACTGATATAGGCTTTTCATTTTTGTCTGTCAATGAAGAAAGTAAACATAGGGTCAACTGATATGTTGATTTTGCCTATGAATATTTTTTTCAGATGCGTTTATTTACTGAAATCTATGGGGGTGGTGATGGCGCAGTGGATAAGACACATGCCTTTGGTGTGAGAGACCCGGGTTTAAATCCACTGTGAGACACCAATGTGTCCCTGAGCAAGACACTTAACCCATCGTTGCTCCAGAGGCGTGCAATCTTTGACATATATAGCAATTGTAAGTCGCTTTGGATAAAAGTGTCAGCTAAGTGAATAAATGTAGATGTAAATGTATAAAGCTAGGTAATTTAGTTTATTAAATGCATTCACAGTAGGCTACACATTTATTATTGATATTATGCCTAATACAGGGCCGTAGACAGGGCTTTATAATCAAAGAGGTCCTAAATTTGAGGTTGGTAGGGGCTTCAAATTTTTGATTTCTCGGATGTGCATTTCAAGAGGTTTGAAGACCAAAAAAGGATAAGAAATAGCTTTAAAACCATGTCAGTGGGCAGTAGATTTTTCTTCCCTGGCTGAGCTTTTTTAATGTACTAAAGGCTACAATTTGTATTATATTCTTAACATACATTAATAATTACTCTTGTGCCTAAAATGATGAAAATGGCTTTGTGTTTCTTGTCCCCTCACAATGACAGTAAACTAATTATTACATTACATGAGTCATGTTACATAGGCCTATTTTCAGTTCAAAATGGCGAAATTAGACAAACTTTATGAGAAACTGTATTAGTTTGACTGATTATTTTTTGTCATTCGCTTAACATTTATGACCTAAAAAAATGTCAAATATGAAATGTTAAGTTTAGCTACTTACATCTTATCTCTTGACCGTACGCGTCGAGTCGCACTGTTAAAATTTGCGCTCAGCAGCGTCTGTGAACATAAAGCCCACCTAATTTTATTTTATTTGTCATCTTCTGACATTGACGAGAAGTGACAGACCAATGAGGCTCAAATGAACACACACTGTCCTCTATTTCTGACGTGCTCTCTGCTCGGCACCACTGCG